TTGTCAATAAATAGCTTTCTTTATGTGTACACCAATCATACGTATTTATATTGTATCTTGTAAATACGCATTTACAGCAAACCTACAACATTTACAGCAAACTAGGCCTATACACATTTACAGCAAAACATTTTAGAAAACGGTTATTTCTACACAAAATAATTTAAGCACAATGCAAATAAAATCTCATAAAAGCCGTTTTAAGTCAATATAGGCTAAATAATTATTTCTGAATATTTTATAATTTTTTTTTCGAGTAAACACATGATAGGAAGCAGCTTTTTTCTTTGGTTTAAAGAAAAGCAATTGATTAGAAAAATTTTAAAATAATAAAATTATTTCAATAAAAATTGATCGATACTTTAAATTTAATTTTATATTTTAAAAGTTTACCTAAATAAAATTTTACGGAATATTTATATCAAATGTAAATGTAAAAAACACAGACACACACACACAAATTGCTTTAAATGGAGCCTATCGATGACTTCAGCGCCTTAAAATAGCCACAATTTTATCAATTATCATTCAAATTTTTTAAATAAATATTTTATCTGCATACTTGCATAATTGGCGTATTTAGCATAAATATTGAATCAATTTGTTGTTTATTCAGAGTATTAAGCTGTGGCCTGTATATCCCCCGTTTTATTTTTGAACAACCATCATTAATTTACACTATTAATTATCTCAAATAGGTCTGCCAAAATAGATAATCAATTTTTATGACTGTTTTTATTTGGTGATTTAAAGTTACCTTATGTTAAAATATTCAATTTTTAAGTAAATCTCGAAATCAAAAATCCAAGAAATGATATGGGAGATCTGTTAAGGAAGATGCTTTCTGAGAAGACTTTCTACTGAAAACTGACCTCTATTTAGGTGTTAGACACATGAAGTAAACCCGGAAACTACGTGGCCAGCCCATTGGTGAAGTGCGAACCTACGACCAACTAAACTACCAGTGTTCAGTAGTTTTACCCACTTGAACAATGGTGGGGTAAAAAAAAAAACAAGTTAAAACGAGAAATTGGTTTAGATATGATCGCAAAATGAATGCCACATCTTGAGATTGTTATTGCGTGAAATATAATATACACTAGCAAATACAAAATGTAAATTTTAGAAATTTATGCGTTAGAGAATTTTTCTTATATTATATTAACTCGAATTTTCAAAAACAGAAATAATTTTGAGCATATCCTTTTAAAATTCCAATAAATTTCATTTATAACAAGTTTTTCCTTTTACCGGAAATGATGTCACTAAACCAAATAATATATTATTTTCTTGACAGTTGACTTATTTCAAAAAAGACATTTATTACTCATTTTATTTTCTCTTCTGGTTCAGCTGGATAATTTTCTGCCGTTAGATAAGTGTATGCTGTATACAGTATACTACGTATTATGTACGAAAAGAATTGCAAACGTGTTTGAGAAAACTTCAAGAAATAAAATAAATACGTGTCATATACAGTATATTATAGAAAATAACAATAAAATATATCTAATTATTCCATATATATAAATTTCATTTTATTATTAAGTTTAATTATTTAGTTAACATCGATTAAGGTATGATATTCTTTTTCATGTTTAACAAGGACACTAGCTTATATCATGTTTATTTATTTATTTATTTATATTTTGTTAATAGCTATTCCACAAATCATGATCTCTATAATGTTAATAATCACTTTTAAAAACTGAAACATAAACATCCATGATTTACATTGGATTCAAAATTATAGTACAGTATTGATGTGTTGCATATAATTAATTATATTTTTGCAAATTATACTGTTATGTTATAAGTATATATGCAAGTGTATATATATACACTTGCATATATACATGCACATAGAGCGAATCTACGGGAATCTATATACGAGTATTTAAAGTGTGTCCAGGAATATTTAGTAACAATCTTAGAAGACGGTTACCCTCTAAGATTGTTACTAGATATTCTTGCACACACTTTACATACACTTACATACTAAATATTATACTTTACAATATGTATACTTTACATAGTAGATATTCCTGTACACACTTGTTCCTGGATGGGAAGGATTTACAGATAAGCTATACAAGCTGTAGCTTAGGGTCTCGTGTTAGAAATCTAGAGCGTAAATATATGTAATAATGTAGATGTTTGTAAAAATGTAAGGCTCTACGTCTTACACCTTTACATATATCATTACTTGGTGGAGAACGGCCTCCTATATATTATAGCTTAGGCCTACAACAAGTCTAAGTCTAGTCCCGTTCTTGGATCCGCCTGCACACACTTTAGACAAACGCGTATATATATTTATAAATTATAATTTTGCATAAAGTATACAACAGTAAAACCGATTCAAACAGAATCGAGTCTCCATTCTAATTGGCTTTATTTTAAAAAGCGCAAAAAATATTAATTAGCACTTACTATTTTACTAATACCGAAGTAAAAGAAAAATATTTATAAAATTAAATAGGAATTATTAAGATAGGCTAAATCGTAGTTTTTTAAAATTATGTTTCCGTAAATACGAACGTTTCAAGTGATCTAGGTTCATAAACTTTGAAATGTTGTACGCGAAAATAAAAAATAAATCATTTCTGATATGGGCTTAACAAGACTAAATAATAACTAAGGCTAGAACATCAAGGCATTAAAAATGATATAATTTATAACTTATGAGTTATATGTTATCACTTATAAGTTATAACTTATAACTAGAGCTAGGATATCTAGGCACTAAAAATCGTTTATATGAATTTTAGTGCTTTTATAGCACTGACTAATATTTTATTGATATTTTTTATGAATAAAACATTTTAAGGACAAGTCTTTAATATATTAATAATTTTATTATTATCAGTGTATTTGTTTGTAATTATATAATTTGTTGATATACCCTTTGTCAAGATTAATGAATTTCAATCGTGATAAGAGTTTCATAAATTCTTTTTTATAGGCTATATATTAATAATTAGTCGAAATCTAATAATTTTAAATGGTATTGCAAGATATCAGAGTTTTTATCGATAAGGTTACTCAAAAGTCAGTTTACCGAGATATATTTTTTTAAACTCTGTATTTGAAATATTTACTTCATTGAAAAATACTGAAATACGAATTATAATATGCAACTATTCAATGTCAGCCCAAAAGTGAGTTACCTTTGGACTTTCTACACATATTAAAAAGGTTAGAATTTAAAATTTTCAATCTACATTACTATAGTTATATATACTTTATATAATTATGTTTTCATTAAACAATTTATTCCTTATATATACTATGAAATTGAACTTTATGGCGTTTTTATAACTATAATATATCATACTAAGCATCATAATTCATAGAATAAATATAATTTAATAATAACAGTCTTCAAATAAGCTGTAGTTAAACCTCAGAACGGCCAATGAAGAGAACATAAAAAATGACAGTTGTTCAGGGTTATTTTATATGCCTTTAATGACTGCTGTTTAAAAGTGGAAATTCGATTGTATTAGAGTTAGGAAGTAACATTATAAAATGAAACACAGCTTTAAATTAAATTAAATTATAGAATAGCACATTAAAACTACATCTTGATTTGCAATATTAGGAAAAGCATTTAAACAGTTTAATGAATTACACTCAAAACGTTCTCAATTCAACTTATAACAAATTAATATAATAATTTATGCAATTTACACGATCGGCGTTATTCATTTTAGTAGGATTATTAAGCAAATGACTCAGAGTATATTAATCCTAGTACACCTTTTCATATTAATCTTCGTACACTAATCCAAACAAATCATAGCCGCAATACCTTAATAATCTCTACATGATTTTCTCGCAAATCTTTCCTATAATGATCTTATAGACAACCAGGAAGAATTATATAATAATTATGACTCCATATTATTGCAATTACAAAGGTTGCTATAGGATTTTGACCTCTCCGAAGCATTGTAAGTGGTTGACATCTTTGGAGGGTTAAAATCCTGACTTTAATTCTTATAAAATATATTTTAAATTTTTTAAAAATTGAAAATGTTTTGAAATTTCTATGAATTTATTAAAATATTTTCAATATTCAAATAAATTTAAACGTAAATAAATAAATAGTTTGTTTATTTATAGTTATGTAAATAAATAAATAGTTTGTTTATTTATTTACCGTTAACACGAATTTATTTATCAAAAAGTAACTTTTGTTTATTCCTTTTACTTTATAAATTAAACTAAATATTATACTTTTATTTTTATTTTATAAAATAGAAAAATTTCTACAAAAAAACCCCACAAAATATGCGATTTAGCACGGAAATCCTTTATTCTTCGTATTATAATCTTTATGCTTGAAGCATTTCAGACTAGCCTTGTTCTTAATCCTTTATTATCATTTTATCNTATAAGATGTTACTAACGTGAAAAAAACCCCACAAAATATGCGATTTAGCACGGAAATCCTTTATTCTTCGTATTATAATCTTTATGCTTGAAGCATTTCAGACTAGCCTTGTTCTTAATCCTTTATTATCATTTTATCCGTTGTTCTGAATGGGTTATATTACTCACGCAAAACACTTACCTTCCTCCGCTGGCACAGATAATCGATATATAATATACCATATTAAACATAAAACTTACATTAACTTACGATCATGCGAAACAAATACATAAATTTTAAGAATAAGCTCGTCTGAAATCCATTTTTTTCTTCTTTGTTGCGGTTGAAAGGTAATTAAAATTGATCGAATTATGAATATAATTAAGAATAATAGAGCCGTCAAGAGGCGAAGGAGCTGGAGAGTTTTGCCCGAGCCTCTATAAATTAATGTTATTTTTATTAATAAAGAAACATTCTACATAAGCTATTTCATCTTATTAAAAAATATAATAATAAAACACAAAGAAGGAAAAAGAGATCCGCTCCGTATCCTCAGAACCCATACAAGCCCTCGATGACCTTATATATAGGCTATATAATATTATTTAAAATTAAAACTTACTTTTTCTCGGAAAATAACAGCAAGAATTCCAACAGCCAATTCAGATACCAGAATCAAAAACAAGAAGACAAAATATTTGCATAAAGTATACAACAGTAAAACCGATTCAAACAGAATCGAGTCTCCATTCTAATTGGCTTTATTTTAAAAAGCGCAAAAAATATTAATTAGCACTTACTATTTTACTAATACCGAAGTAAAAGAAAAATATTTATAAAATTAAATAGGAATTATTAAGGTAGGCTAAATCGTAGTTTTTTAAAATTATGTTTCCGTAAATACGAACGTTTCAAGTGATCTAGGTTCATAAACTTTGAAATGTTGTACGCGAAAATAAAAAATAAATCATTTCTGATATGGGCTTAACAAGACTAAATAATAACTAAGGCTAGAACATCAAGGCATTAAAAATGATATAATNGTAGTTTAACCTATACTGAAAGTTAGATACAAGATATTTAATTTTTTGAAATAGTTTTAAAGTGTATTTATTATAAATGTTTAACTCACCGTTACGATCATGCATTTATTTTCTTGAATTGCACCACAACAACCCAAAAATCCAACGATTAAAATAAGTCCGCCAATTCCAATCAATGCAAATGCCAAATATTGTATAAGAGCATAATTTCCGTCAACAGTAAATAATTGAAACAACGTCTGTTTGTCTTCTTCTACTAAAATATAAATTCCGAAAGCCACAAGTGCACATCCTGACAGCTGGAGATCGGATGCAAATAAAAAACATTTCAATTTTATTATTAAAAATACTAAATCGATAAATACTTTGCTGTTTAGGTAATTAAACTAAAAAACTCACCCAAAATACTAAATTGAATGTAACCAGAGCCCCTTTGGCACATTTTGCACCGCAACTAAGTGCCATGTTTTATCACATCAATTTTATCTGCAATTAAATATTTAAAAAATTCAATTTATATTTTTGAAATTGAATAAATAAATAAATTCTAAACAACCGTGCAAAGCAGTCCACTTATGCAGAACAAATGGTGGACATATTCGCTCCTATCCTATCAACATTTTTGGTTCGTTTTATATTTTATATTCTGATTCTAACTGTTTATAAATATAGTTTATGCTATAATATAATTTTTTTCTAGAGCTGTTTATAAGTTTGAGCTTACCTTGCAAATCAAATCCGATTTCGAAAAAATCCACGAATACTTCATCACATGCAGCTATCTCCAGTGTTCGACTGATCTTTTGTTAGCCTCCACATCCTCCCCCTTCCGATGAATTTGGAGCATGCTCAGTTGTATCCTACATCTCCAGCATCCCTCAATCGATATACTTTCTACTCTGTATACGCTTTCTAGTTTTATTCAGCACATTTAAAAGAAACGATTTTTAACTTATCACCATTCTATTTTTAACTGGACACGTTTCCAAACAGTAATTCGAAAAACCGATGACTTACCTCAACGGACATTGACACCAAAATTATTCAATGTTTTGGCTACTGACCTCCTATTGTATTTCGATTCATCCTTTTAATTTGTTGACTCCATTTTTGTTGTTTTAATACTTATCATTGTCGCTGCACTGTTTACAAATTTAGGACAATATTTCTCGTTCTGATTACTTATTTAATTATACCGCTGTTTCCCACAGGTTATTTACATTTATTATGAATTATATGATATACTGAACTAATAGTTTCCTTCTGAGATATTTATAATTGATATCTTATCAGGGACATAAAAATAAGATGCGGATGAATAGCCCGAGTTTCCACTTAAACTGTTGCTCTTGTAAGCGAGCGATCGTTACAAATACGGAGATTAAACTACTTTAGCTAATACTATAAATAACAATGTTACATTTACAGTTTCATGTTAAAAATATCGGGGTATGCTTGAACTGATGGGGGATATTCTTTGAATTTCACGTTCGAATGCACATGACAAGGTAGAGGTGATGTCATCGGATGTAGTACTTTTGTTAAATATGAACAGGAAAACGAAACGAGGTCGGTGTTCTTTTTATATATATAATATCAAAGCATCATTTTTTATGGATAAGTCCATCGAGTAAAAAAAAATAAAAATAAATAAAATCAGAAAAATATTTTTCCTACAAAAATTTAATTGTTTTAATTTAAAACGTTCTCCAAAAGCTAATTTTTTTCTTTCCTTTATAAGCGCCTACAGTAAAATAGTCTATATATTTTTAAAGTATTTAAATTCGGATAAAATAGAGAATTTATTTTATAGAAGTTTTGCAGAAAAGATTTTAACAAATAAGCTTAACAATATTTTAAGTTTATTTAAAATGTAATTACAGAGTCGAATCTCCAACAACGGCCACCTCTTAACAAAGGTTATTTCTAAACGGCGCCATTTTTTCCAGGAAATTTTTTTGTTTAAATAAAAATACATACAAAATAATCTCCGAACAACGGCCATTTTTCTGTTTCCATCAGTGGCCGTTGTTTAGAGGTTCTACTATTTTAATCCTTTTAATGACATTTTAATAATCATATTAATATAATAATATTTCCTTTTTTCAAGATTAAGTTTTATTAATTTAATATTTGTTATTAAATGTTGCAAGTTTGCAGAATCGATTTTCTGTTTTAGAATTTTGCTAAATACATTTTAATTAAAATTCATATATCAATAAACCCTAAGGGCATATTTATTAAGGACAATTATTTTTATGCATTCTCATTCTAAGTTTATACAAATGCATGTAAATGCACACAAATGCACGTAATTGCATACGCTTATTCGTGCAAATGTGCAATTTAATTCAAATAATATTTTATGAAAAAAAAGCCACTTTCTAATATTTAATACACAAACCTCCAAACAACGGCCACCGACAGGAACATAAAAGTGGTCGTTGTTATGAGGTTATTTTGTATTCATTTTTGTTCAACATTCCTGAAAAAAGATCACAGTTTAGAGGTGTCTGTTATTGAAAATTTGACTGTATTTTATTTTTTAAAAATCAGTTATCATTTTTAACATAAAATAGCTTTTAATACAGTAATTGTATACAAATAATTTTAAAATTAAAAAAATAAAATAATTATAACACTAATTATAAAATGTAATAAACGTTTTAAATACGTTTCATAGATATTATATATAATGTTAAATCATCCTATTGATAATATTATTCCAGTCAATAGAATAACTAGAACCGATATTAGGAGACTCGAATTAGAACTTGCAAATTTACATCCACCCCTATATCACAAGCGTTGTATTGATAGATTGAAGAGTAAATTCTTAGATATTGTATATACACGATTGTAAGTGCATTTGCCATGTTCAATCTTTCTTTGGTACTTATTTGATTTTTCTCAATTTATTTATTTACAAAGGTACGGGGGCCCGAGCCCCATGGGCCCCTTCCCGGCTACGCTAGTGGACTTCTAGTTTAAATTTTAACAAATTTACAACTGTTCATTCTCGTTAAGTTTAAAATTTTAAAACTTAGATGTGACAGAATTTCAATTAAAAAAAAAAAAAGTTATTTAAAAATTTAAAATTTGTTTTAAAAAAATTAAAATTTTTTGCATTTCCATTTACAATTACAAATTTAATTTTAATAGTACAAAATTATGAAATTTTAAAGTAATGAAGGTAATAATTGTTTAATATTGATTAGTTTCGAATATTATTATTTCCTCTATTAGTTAAATTATTTTTGATTAAATTAATTCTATCGTGCTTGTTTAATCAATAAATATATTTAAACTTCATTTATTTGTAGTATAAAATCTTAGATTTTAAATCATATTTAAAGTTTTAGAATATTAAAGTAATTTAATCATTAAAAATACTTATAACTTAATAATGTTTATTAAACGAAAAAAACTGTAAAAAATTATCGTTTTTAATTAATGTTACTTTTGAAAAATAAAAGTAAAAAATTTAATAAAATTAAAATTAGTTTTATATAAAATTATCACTTACTTTTTAATTTTTAAATGTTTAAATAAAAATAATATTAATTTTTTAAA